TGCATCCACAGGGGCACATGCGTGTGGAGGTACATGTGTGCGCTTGCACCCCTCTGCACACACCCACCCCAACACACATGCACCACGTGAGCATGCATGCAGCGAGCACCTTCAGCTGCATGCACCCCTTGCACACAACATGTGTGCACCCCTGTATGTGTGCACTCTGCATGCATGCATAGGGCTGCACATCTGCAGAGGTGCAGGCAGGCACAGGGTGCATACCTGCAGAGTGCATAGGCGCGGGGTGTATCATGCACGGTGTGTGTGCATGCACACCCTTGTGTATGCATGCACCCCTTGCACACATGCACCGTGATGTGCGTGCAGCATACGTGTGCACCGTGCATGCGTTCACCCTCAAGTGCACACACACAGGGGTGTACATGCACCCTGTACACGTGTGGGGGTGCATGCATGCACAGGGGTGCGTGCGTGCACAGGGTGCATGCTGCAGACCTGTGGAGGTTCATGCACAGCCGCTGCTGCCCGCATGTTGGGGTGCACGTGTGCACGGTGGGCGTGCGGACACGCTGCACGTGGGTGTGGGTGCACGTGTGCACAGGCAGGACTCAAAGCCCCATCTGGCCAGGTTTTCCCCCAAAAGCTGTGGTGTGTTTCTGCTCTCCTCCCCCTCCCCAGGGGAAGCGTGACCGGGGCTGGGGCAGTGGGTTGGGATAGCGGCGCCTTCACTGGGCTATTACTGGCTTCCTACTAGTTACTCTTTGCTTCCTATGACGCTACTGCTAAGGTACTACTGGGATACTCTCAGTAACCTTGGGAGGGAGTAGTGAGATACTATCGAGACACAGCTGAGATACTCTCAGGATACTACTGGGATGCTAGTAAGATGCTCTCAGGAGTTTACTAAAATGCTGTCAGGGTACTCTGCTGACAGTCCTAAGGCACTCTAAGATACTGTCAGGATACTACTGGGATACTACGAGAACTCTACTGAGGTACTATCAGGGCACTAGCAGGATGCTATCAGGACACTACTAAGGTATTTCCAGCATCTTTCCAGGGTTGATATTGAGATACTATTGTGAAGGTACCACTGGGGCAGTGCTAACGTGCCATCAGGGTGCTCTCAGGATACTACAACACGTACGGTTAAGATGCTTTCAGCGTAGCGACGTGGCACTAAGATAATATCTGGATATTATATTGCACTACCAAGATACTATCGGGACACTGCTAAGATAATAGCTGTTGTAATACCATTACAACACTGTTAGGATCCTGTCAGGACACTGCTCATCCACTGCTGTGATACTATCAGGGCACTGTTAGAATGTAACTAGGGGGCTATTGGGATGCTCCTGACATAGTATCAGGATACTACTACCCCTGCTAGTACAACATCAGAGCAACGCTGAGCTATTCAGTAGCTGCTACTAGGATACTCTCGGTGTAGCGCAAAGGTACTACCAGGATGCTGCTAAGATGTTATCAGGATACTGCCTGGATACTCAAAAAGACACCGCTGAGATACTTTGACAATACTGTCAAGGCGCTACTAAGATACTACAGGGCCATTACTAGGATACTATTAAGATACTATCAGGGTACTACTCTGATAATATCACAACGCTGCTAAGGTGCTATCAGGACAGTACTCATTTTTTAGTAGGATGCTGTTGGGATGCCAGTAGGATATCAGGAGGATACTTCTGAGATACTACAAGGGCAGTAGAAAATAGTGGTAAGATACATCTGGGATACTATCAGGGCAACACTCAAACTTTTGGGATACTGTCAGCACATTGCTGATACTACCATGATACTTTCAAGCCACTACTAAGATAGTGATATAGTATAAGGATACTACTAAGATACTACCAGTTCAGTAAAATAGGTAGTGTTATGATACTTTTTATATACTTTCAGGTTAGTACTAAGAAACTTTTGGGCCACCGTCAGCACTTTGTCGCTACTATTAAAGTACTACTAGTATAGTCTCAGGATATCAGCATATTTCCATGAAGACAGTACTAAGATGCTGTTGGGATACTACTAGGATACTACAGAGATACTGTTGGTGGTGTAGTAGCCCTGGCAGTAGGGTTTCAACCAGCATGATGGCAGGAAAGGGAACGGGGAGCCCTGGTGTTGTAACCTGTGAGTAGCCTGGTGCCTCACGGGCACCCTCTCCCCGCAGCTAAGGCGGCGCGGCGGCGTTGAGGAGGATGGAGGCGCCCCTGGTAAGCCTGGAGGAGGAGTTCGAGGAGGGGCCCGGGGACGATGGGGGGACCCCGCAACGCACGGCGGACCCGGCGCTGGCCGAGCTGGAGAGCTTCTCGGCCGAGATGATGAGCTTCAAGTCGATGGAGGACCTGGTGCAGGAGTTTGACGAGAAGCTCACCGTCTGCTTCCGCAACTATGATGCTGCCACCGAGGGTCTGGCCCCCGTGCGGGGGCGTCTCCAGGCGCAGGAGGAGGAGGAGCGCCTCCAGGATGAGGAGTGAGTAAGGCCCCCCTACTCCTGGGGACATGTGCCTCCTCGCACACCTACAAAATCCACACCCACCCCCCCCCCCACCACGCAAACTGGCTCGCTGCGTTGCAGCGTGGTCATGCAACACAGCAAAGGAGTGGTGTAGTAAGCTGTGAGTAAGCCCCCTCACGGCCTGTGCGCCTCCTTGCATCCTTGCGAGACTTCCCTGAGCAGCTCCCTGCATCGTGGCATGGTCATACAACGTGTCGGGAATAGCGCCGTAGTCTCCTATGAGTAAGCACTCCCTCGGGGTCTGCATGACGCCTTGCATGTTAGCGAGGTACACCCCACGTGCAACTCAGCCCCCTGCGTCGCGGTGTAGTCATGCAGCAGTTTGGAGTAGCTGTGTAGGATCCTATGAGTAGTTCTAGAAGATC